CATGGAGCAATTAGAAATGGTCCGTCATAACCAGCACGTGACTCAGCTGAGTATTTCCATGGAAGCTCTTAGTTCATGATGGTGTTTTGCTATTGCTGGGTTTTTATTTTTGTTTTTTTTGTTTGTTTGGGGTTTTTTTGAGAGGTTTTTGTAATAGGGCACGTGCATTCACCAGAGAGAGACCGAGAGAAAGAGAGAGAATGCAAGAAATCACCTGCCCCCAGGGGAGATGGCCACGCCATAGTCCCTTCTCCTCTCAGGAGTTCGAGCACGCACGCGCACATGCCCAACAGCGGTCGACTACATGGGAGTCCAGCAATGTAACCATTAGGCCATTTGCTGGTCCCTGTTGTTGCTGTTTTTAAGGTTTATGGCATAGGGTGTGTGTCCTTGCAGGAGAGAGACAGTGAGAATAAAGTGAGAAATCGCTCCCATGGGGAAATGGCCACACTGCAATCCTTCGCCTCCAATATCCTCCTGGGACTTTCGGCACACACACAAGTACACGAGCCCAGCGTGATTTCCAAGACGCCAGCTCCAGACTTTGAACTGTGGTTGGCCAGGTGGGAGTCCAACGCCTTAACCACTACAGCACCTGCTGGTCCCACACTTCTGCTCTTTGTTACGGGCACAGATTTATTCCACCTGGAATCCTGATGACTTGAAGCAGTGGTTCCCACAGTGTGCTCCCAAGACCAGCAGCCTCAGCACCACCAGGGAGCTAATGAGAAATGCAGCTTTTTAAAGTTCATTTATTAATTTCTTCCATGAGCAAGGGAGAGACAGGTACACCCATAAGGATCTTCAAACCAGGATCCACCCACACCCTCAGCCAGCCAGACCACAGGCATGTGCATGTACTTGGCATGTACAGGGCGGCTTCAGGATGTGAACCCAGGACTTTTCCATGTGGGTCTAGACTTGCATAGCATTGTGCTACCCCCAAACCAAGAAATGCAGATTCTTGACCCCACCCTGGACCAGCTACATGGAAACTCTGCTGGATGGGCTGAAGTAACACAGGAGCTATTTATATTTACAAAGGAACGAACAACTGAGAAAACGGTCATGGTCCATCAGGAAAGGGCAGCGACTCTACATTGTTTTTGTTTTTAATTTTTGGAGAGGTTTTTGCTACAGGGTGCTTGTGCTCACCAGAAAGACAGAGAGAGACAGAGACACAGAAAGCAATAAATCACCCACCGGAGGGATGGTCACGCCACAATCCCTTCTCCTCCTTTCTCCTCTTGGGATCTTGGGCACGTATGCACACACACCCAGTGTGAGTTTAAGCCACCGAGTCCGGGACTCAAACCATGGTCGACTACATGGGAGTCTAGTGACATAGCCATTACACGAACTGCTGGTCACTGCATCTTTACATTCTTAAGTCAAACTAGGTCATATCCCTCAATGAGTGAGAACATAGGCAGAATAATGACTCCTCCACACCACCTTGCCATGTGACCAACGGCCATTCTGCAGGAGGAAATCCTTTAAGCCGTACTCGGTGGTCTAGCCACTGGAGCTGAGATGCTTCACGGATTCAGAAGAAAATAGAAATTTTCTTCTGCTTCTGCCCAGATGAAAATAAATCAGCATAAATCAGGTTGTACCCAAGAAAATGCACCCCCAGAATGTGTCTGGTGGCTTGTCTTTTGCGATCTCCTGGCAGACTGAGGGAGGTGACACGCAGGCGGTAAGTCACGTGAGCCGTGGTAGAAAGGCCCTCGGTTGGCACGGAGCACACGCTCGGCCCAGGCCATCCGCTCTGCCTGCAGTGCGCCTTTCAGGACTTCAGGGGATCCTTGCCTTCTGGACAGCACTGCCTCTCCCCCACCTGCTGAATTTTCTATTACTTTCATTTAAAACATCATCCAAAGTAACGCTCCCTGAGAGCTGAGAAGCCTCTCTGAGTACTCGTGATTTTCTGAAGTCTTAGGTTTCTTTTTCTATCCCTTTTCCCCCTCATCATGAAGGGTCCTTTATCTATGAGCTAGCAAACTCCAAATAAGAAAACATTTAAAGGGACCAGTAGTTGGTGTAATGGCTATGTCGCTGGACTCCCATGTAGTCGACCGTGGTTCAAGTGTCAGACCCAGCGGCTCAAACTCACACTGGGCACGTGTGCATGGGTGCCCAAGATCCCAAGAGGAGAATGGAGGAGAAGGTATTGCGGTTTAGCCATTCCCTTGGGGGTGATTTCTCACTTTCTGTCTCTCTGACTCTTTCTGGCAAGTGCACATGCCCTATAGCAAAAACCTCTCCAAAAAAAGAAAAAAAGGAAAGAAAGAAGAGATTTAAAAAGAAAACACTCGCTCGTCTTTATTTCAGAACGACCCTGTATATACGCTCTCTCTGCTTCCATCGGTGGATCTGCTATGGTGGATCTACATGGGGAGACTGGCCCAGCAGTCTCCGCGTGTGATGGAACCGGGGGGCTGAAGGTCCCGGCAAAAGAGACTGAGTATGGGCATTATCACCCTAACGCTCTAATCGTGAAATGTGTGCACCAAAGAAGACAATGAAGCTGGTTTGTAGCAAATGCAAAGGAACACCACAACTTGGAAATGAAACATGTTCACCTGTGGTGCCAGGCACCTTGATCCTTGCACTGGGTAAGATCCTCCAGCTCTAAACACTGTCCCTGGCCGTGCCTCCTATCCAGGGACATACGATTTGCTCAGCCACCGATAAACGTACAATTCTCCCTTCTCTAAGGAGCTGTGAAATCACATTTCAAGCCCTAGTTAGCTTACCAAATCTGGCATCTCATACAGACAAGTGACGAAGGAAAACTACAATCCGAAGCATCGTGTCTCTTGATAAATATCCTCCCCAGGGAAGACAAACCCAGATCTGCCACTGATTGCTCCTGGGTTTTCATTTTCTGAGTTCTCTAATAATACACGATCTTGGCTGTAACCAAAGAGCTGCAGTCATAACTGGGATCGGATACACGGTGCTGTTATGGGGTACTCACTCATTATAGGGCTGCGTTAGCACCTTCTGCAAATGTAAGCTTTACTTCTGACACTGAGAAAACTAAGAGGAAACAGCACTGGCATGACTTCTCTGGCGACTTTCACTTGTGAGAGATGGTTTCCATCTCTAGGAACAACTCTGGAAGTCACAACTATTCTTTTTTTTTTTTTTTTCTGCTATACAGTGTGTATGCTCTCCAGACAGAGAGAAAGAGAGTGCACGAGCAAGAAAAAGTAAGCACACCCCCCCACCCCCGCCCCGGGGAATGGCCACCCTGGATCCCTTCTCTTCCATTCTCCCCTCGGGATTTTGGGCATACACCCACATGTGCCCAGTGTATTTTTTAGGCTGCCAGGTCTGGGACTTGAACCACTCAGTCGGACATGTGGAATCCAGTATCTAAACTGCCATGCTACTGCTGGGCAGTCACAACTATCCTTGAGTCAATGAGACAGCACAGCCACTAACAGGGACAGGCCTGCAGGTGGCTGTGGGTGGGACAGGTTTATGGAGGTACCTTTGAAAGCAGTGAGAGGGCTGACATTTCCCTTGGCCTGTTCAGGCTGGGATGTGACCCTGCGGAAGGGCGAAGGCTTTAGAGTCACTCACCTCTTGCAATTACATGATTCCATCCTCCACGAGGAATCAAAACAAAATAACAGGGCCAGCAGGTGGCATGGTGGTTAAGAGTGCTGGACTCCCACATGGTCAGCCATGGCTCGAGGCCCGGACCTGGTGGTTTGCATTCTCACTTTCCTTCTCTCTCTGTCCCTTTCTGGTCAAATTAAAATAAAACTAAAGTTAAATAAAATAATTCTTTAAAAACAAAACAAAAAAATGAAATAACAGGAGGCACAAGACTAAATGAGTACCCAGGCAGAGCCCAGCGCAGTGGCACAGGCTGTAGGACGCTACTGCACAATACGCACCCACACGGGAGGCCTGGATTCGGACACCAGGTCGACCTGAACCTGCCCGCCACATCCACAGGCACTGTGACTCCTAGCTGGCTGGAGCCTCGGCGGAGGACTGAGGTGTGTTGAGACCTTTACGAGGCACCTGTCTGTCTCTCACACACAAAAGAAACAAATGAAAACATATACAAAGGCTCACTGAAGTGCCCGTGAAATAACAGAAAAATTCAAGTAAACCATGGCCAGGAATTAGGGGTTGGCATATCCAACTGACAGAATATTGTGGTTAACTATGTTTTTGCAAAGATAATATGATGACATGAAAACAATGCTCACTAAAATTAACTAGAGAAATCAGAAGTACCTAACAATACAATCTTAATTTTGTGGTACAAAAATCAATTTATACTCAGAGGGAAAAAAATAAAACTAAAAGAAAATAGACCAAAATGCCTTTGTGGCTATATCAGAGTAGTATGATGAAAGTGTTATTAAAATTCTTTTTTTTCTTGTTTTGATTACATTTTTGTTTTAATTTAAAATGTTTTCAAACATGTAGCAAATTTGCAAAACCACTCATATATCCATAATTCTGCCTATTGAACACCCATATATCCACAATTCTGCCTATTTTTGAACTTTTGAAGTAGGTGATTCACCACACACATATGCAGACACTTTATAGAGACAAACATTTTCCCCCAAACCCTTTGAAAGGAACTTACAGACATCATGACATTGTACCTCGAAGTGCTCCAATATGAGTCTCTAAGGAATGGTGCATTCCCAACTTTTGTACCTATATATTACCTAATGTAAGCTCCTTTCAAATTTTCTCATTGATCCTAAAATACTTTTTTTAATTGTTAAAATCCTTCATTTTATCCCATTCAGTATTGTTCGGATTTTCTACTACTCATTAAAGGAAAAAAAAAAAAGTACTTTCAAATACTGCACATCTCTATCTAAGAATGCTGTAGACACACCAAACAATTAAACCTGAATTGAAATTAAAGTCTTACTGGTGACTCTAATGTCTGGCCCTGAGAGCCCCCCTGCCACCAGCTCTCATGGGCAGCCCAGCGGGCACCAGGCACTCACCTGAGACGGTGTTGTCACACTGATTTCTGGAACAAAGTTGTCCTCAAAGAAATTGATGATGTTCTCCTGTTGCAGCTCCTTGGTGGGGGTGACTTTGGGCAGAGGTGGGACAGGAGGCCCCTTCCTTGTCTAGGAAGCATTAAATATAAACGTGAAATCAAAGAATGTGTGAGAAATGCAGAAATGCCGCGTGGACATATTGAGCTTTGGTGGAAACAGGGATGGGTCTAGCATGGGCCTGCCTGGTGCAGGGAAGAGCACCGGCTCTGCGGGCAGCTGTCTGCCCACGGACAGGGCAGGGTCCAGTGGGGGAAGCCCAGGCTCTGATTCCACGCATCACAACGCAAGGCCCATGCACCACGCTGCAGGGCCAGGGGCCAACACTGTTAAAGTGGAACGAAGATCATGATTTCTCTGAACTGAAAATGATCTCGCACGGCACTCAGAATTCCAAACGTAAAATCAAGCAAGCTTTCACTGGAAGCAGTGAGCCCAGCTACACTCAGGGATGCGGACAGTGAGAATTTGGGAGTCCTGGGGCTAGCTGGTGGCTGCAGCTGGACTGTGACTTAGCAGTAGTACAACACATTGCTCTGTAAAGGTGAAGCATGTGGGAAGGTTCTAGGTTCAGAACCCGGGACCTCCCTGAAATACCAGGTGTGTACATGCGCATGGTCCAGGGCTGACTGAGGCTGGCAGGGGGGGGGGGGGGGGGGGCATGGTACAAGGACCCTCCTGGGGGGCTTATTTCTCTGTTTTTCTCATTCATGAGAGAAAAATATGAATAAACTTAAAGATGCTTAAAGAATCAAAGGTGACGGCTTTCCTTACTTTCAACCACATACAGGAAAATCTGAACCGGACTTAGGATCCAGTTTCCTACAGGCAAGTAAGGAAAAAAGGGCGGCAGTTTTTCTCCATGGCGACCTCTGCCTGATCTTTCTGTTTCTTCCAACGCTTTGCTCCACGTATTCTGTATATATAGTTCTGTGAAGTGGCTTCTTATGCACAATACACCGCACGCGACAGAGAGGCAGACATGCCACGGAACCACGACTGCCTTTCATGGCAGTGCCTCCCCCGAGTGTACGAAAGCAACAGCAGAGAGAAGGTGTCTTAGAGAAGGGGGATTTAATGGAGCCTTGAAAGAAACGCTTCGGAGAGCAGAAGATGGGAGCAGAGGAAGTCCACGCGCCTCCGCAAGTCAAAGTGGTGAGAAGGCCCCGCAGACTCAAACACACGGCATGCAAAGACACAGAAAAAGCAAATATAAAAAATGGATGGATGGAGGGAGGGAGGGAGGGAGGGATGGATGGATGGATGGATTGATGGGTTGATTGATTGCTAAGGGAGGCTTGTGCCTGTCAGAGAGAGACAGAGGAAGGGAGAGGAGAAAGCCCCCTTCAGGCCAGTGTCTCCCTTCTGTTGGGAGTTCAGGGACGCACATACTCCTGGTGTGTTTTTCAAGTCACTAGGTCCAGCATTTGAACCGCAGCTGACCGACTTTATAGGATCTGGCTCCCTTAACCATGAGGTCATGGGGCCAAACCGTGGTAGATTTCTTAGTGACAATGACAAAGTTAAAAGCCTCTTACCTGTTTCCCCGATCAGAAACTTGCCTCACAGCCCAGTACCCTGGCATGGCCCCAGATGGGGTCACCTCAGTGTGAGTTCTTCTACACCTCCCACCTGCACGTTGGCCGCGCTGGTGCAGGAGATGCAGGTGCCAGGGTATGATTAGGACTGGCCGTGGGGCTCGGGAGAGGTGAAGGCTCCTCAGGGGGTGATGGCGTCTTTGCAATGCGAAGAGGACCGGAATCGCTAGACGGACACAGGGGTTAGGGACAGTCTTCTAGGGAACAGGACTTGTTTCCATCCAGAGGGCTCCCTAAGCCTAGTGGGGTGTCTGGTAATCTCTCCCCTCCAGATTTATTCTGGCCTTCAGCGACTGCGATGGCGAGAAAAGGTACAACGTGCCGTCCGCCGTGAGCCAGGCCCCACCTGCACGTATCAGCTGTGACCTTCGCAGCAGGCTGCGTTCCAGAAGCTGCTTTCCTGTCCCCACTTTTCAGGTGAATAACCCTGACATAATCCAGAAATCTGGGGGGTTTGAATTCACGTCTTAGTAAAACAAACCCCCTGCTCTTTGCCGACTGAGCAAGCTATTCCAACTCTTCCAACCATAAACTGAAAAAAACTTTACTAATTTTGCTTTTGATTTACAAGAAAATCTTGCCATGTTGCAATCTGTGGAAAAACTGACTCTGGACATTGTAAATGTTATATTAAAAGGCGTGTTAATAAAGACATTGGCAAGGTGCTTTCTAGTAACATCTAGGAATAAATTCACTAATGACTTGTCTTTCTGCACTTTATGAAACAATGACTCAACTCAGACACCTTGACATATGCAAGGAGATCACAGCTGGGCGAGGCAGTGATGGGCACTGAGCCCGCACGCTCCCGGCGCCGGGCCAGGGTCTCGTGCAGCCTGAGCTGACTGACACGCCGCTCAGACACATCCCGCTCTCCGAGGGTTTCTAACGTCTATAGGTCGGAGGAGCACAGCCTACACACCAGAGTTAGAAGCACACACCATACAGGAAAATCTGAACCGGACTTAGGATCCAGTTTCCTACAGGCAAGTAAGGAAAAAAGGGCGGCAGCTTTTCTCCATGGCGACCTCTGCCTGGTCTTTCTGTTTCTTCCAACGCTTTGCTCCACGTATTCTGTATATATAGTTCTGTGAAGTGGCTTCTTATGCACAATACACCGCACGCGACAGAGAGGCAGACATGCCACGGAACCACGACTGCCTTTCATGGCAGTGCCTCCCCCGAGTGTACGAAAGCAACAGCAGAGAGAAGGTGTCTTAGAGAAGGGGGATTTAATGGAGCCTTGAAAGAAACGCTTCGGAGAGCAGAAGATGGGAGCAGAGGAAGTCCACGCGCCTCCGCAAGTCAAAGTGGTGAGAAGGCCCCACAGACTCAAACACACGGCATGCAAAGACACAGAAAAAGCAAATACAAAAAATGGATGGAGGGAGGGAGGGATGGATGGATGGATGGATTGATGGGTTGATTGATTGCTAAGGGATGCTTGTGCCTGTCAGAGAGAGACAGAGGAAGGGAGAGGAGAAAGCCCCCTTCAGGCCAGTGTCTCCCTTCTGTTGGGAGTTCAGGGACGCACATACTCCTGGTGTGTTTTTCAAGTCACTAGGTCCAGCATTTGAACCGCAGCTGACCGACTTTATAGGATCTGGCTCCCTTAACCATGAGGTCATGGGGCCAAACCGTGGTAGATTTCTTAGTGACAATGACAAAGTTAAAAGCCTCTTACCTGTTTCCCCGATCAGAAACTTGCCTCACACCCCAGCACCCTGGCATGGCCCCAGATGGGGTCACCTCGGTGTGAGTTCTTCTACCCCTCCCACCTGCAGACTGCCGCTCCCTACCTGTGAAGGTGACCTTGGCCGCGCTGGTGCAGGAGATGCAGGTGCCAGGGTATGATTAGGACTGGCCGTGGGGCTCGGGAGAGGTGAAGGCTCCTCAGGGGGTGATGGCGTCTTTGCAATGCGAAGAGGACCGGAATCGCTAGACGGACACAGGGGTTAGGGACAGTCTTCTAGGGAACAGGACTTGTTTCCATCCAGAGGGCTCCCTAAGCCTAGTGGGGTGTCTGGTAATCTCTCCCCTCCAGATTTATTCTGGCCTTCAGCGACTGCGATGGCGAGAAAAGGTACAACGTGCCGTCCGCCGTGAGCCAGGCCCCACCTGCACGTATCAGCTGTGACCTTCGCAGCAGGCTGCGTTCCAGTCCCCACTTTTCAGGTGAATAACCCTGACATAATCCAGAAATCTGGGGGGTTTGAATTCACGTCTTAGTAAAACAAACCCCCTGCTCTTTGCCGACTGAGCAAGCTATTCCAACTCTTCCAACCATAAACTGAAAAAAACTTGACTAATTTTGCTTTTGATTTACAAGAAAATCTTGCCATGTTGCAATCTGTGGAAAAACTGACTCTGGACATTGTAAATGTTATATTAAAAGGCGTGTTAATAAAGACATTGGCAAGGTGCTTTCTAGTAACATCTAGGAATAAATTCACTAATGACTTGTCTTTCTGCACTTTATGAAACAATGACTCAACTCAGACACCTTGACATATGCAAGGAGATCACAGCTGGGCGAGGCAGTGATGGGCACTGAGCCCGCACGCTCCCGGCGCCGGGCCAGGGTCTCGTGCAGCCTGAGCTGACTGACACGCCGCTCAGACACATCCCGCTCTCCGAGGGTTTCTAACGTCTATAGGTCGGAGGAGCACAGCCTACACACCAGAGTTAGAAGCACACACAACAGCACGGTCTCTATGTTCAAGGGGCCACGGGAGCCGGGTTCTCTAGAGAGACAACGCGGACGCGCTGCATGATTGGCCGTGCACTAGCAATCATGGCCTCTGGGGGCAGCCCCAACCTACACCTGCTAGCCGTCACTGAGCTCACTCACCACCTCAGTCTGCAGAGGAACGTGGAGGAAACAGAAGGAACACTCGGTAAGTGGCCGAGGTCGGCTCTATGCACTCCGTCCGACCCACGCACTGAATTTTCAGGCTCACCTGTCCTTGTCACTTCCGTATTCAAGGAGCAATCCTTGAATGCTTCATGTACTTCATTTCAAAAATACCCACAAGTGCTTTGGATATGTCTGTTCTAACTCTGCCTTTGCTGCAAGCCCAGTATCGCAGTAATTGTAGTAAAAGCAGTAGCTCTTCCTGTGTTCATGACACACAGGACTCCCTGGCAGCACCCTAATGCACTGCTCACTTGAGCAGCTCCTGCAGGACTGTTGGCATGGACGGTCCACAGGATGGGAAAGAGAAAACTGGCAGTCTTCGAAGGGACCCACACTCACAATGTAGACGCTGATGGGAGTCAGACCGTGTATGTTACAAACACTGACCAATATGGAATCCACACACAGAGTGTCATGACTGCACAGCAGTCATTTAGTTCAATAGCATCTCATTACTTTTCCTATTGATCAAAAACAAGTAGTAACAAGGCCTTTAATCGGAGAGGTTATTGACTCATCAAGGAAGGCAAACCAAGTTCGCAGCAGAGTCATAAAAAGGAAAGCTGGGCCCGCTGACGTCCAGCTCAAGGCCGGCTAGCCCGAATCTCTGGGTGCATGATATCTCAGGAGAATCGGACAGAGGGATTCCGGCATCGCAGGAGGAAGCGGGTGTGGGGCTGAGCCCTGACAAGGTGGACAGCTTAGCAGGTCACGACCTTCGGTGGACTTGGCGGCCAGGCTCGCGGCAGCCCTGTGCACCCGGACAGAAGAATGCGGCACTCCTGGCTCAAGGGAGGAGGCCAGTGATGGTGAGGTCTCACCGCCTTCCCTTTCCTGTCCCAGAATGGACTCACCAGAAATGCTAGCACCAACAATCAGAATCAGGACTAGCTGTCAGGGGTTTGGAGACTCCCTCTCTTCTCCAGAGGAAGTAACAAGTGCACGACTAGAAACTATTATGTATTGAACCCTCACACTGTTGCCCTCGAGTTCCACGGAGAGTGGAGAAGGGCAAAGAGTTGATTCTGCTGTGACAAGAACCTTCAGTGGGTAATCGCAGACCGGAAGTAAAAGCCATAGCAAAGAACTAAGGCTACGGTCAGGCTCCAGGCAGAAAGGCTTCTCTGAGACCGTATCAGAGGAAGGGAACGGTGTGTGCAGGTCCACAGACCCCAGGCTTCCGACAAGCTCCATGGGACTGCCCAGAGCCGAGCTCGGCGCTGAGGGGCACGGCCTACCTGGGAGCGCCTTGAATGGTGAAGGCCTTGTCGGCGTGCTGGTCGCCCAGTTTCGTCATCACTTCATACAGTTTGTGGCAGAGCTGAGGAGACAGAGATCGCGTGTCTATTAGCTGCGGGTCATCCTGGTGCCAACTCTGGCTATTCTCCCTGGGCGGGAAATAGTTTATTGAGAAACTAAGGCTCTTATGACAGTTTGGATGGCTTCGGGATAACTGAAATTCTGTAATAGTCCAAATTTAAAAACTGAAATAAACTAACCACAAACAAACTTTTTAAACCATCAAAATAGGGTCAGCAGGTAGCAGGATGGTTAAGACGCTGGATCCCACATGGCCGACTGCATGTTCGAGTCCCGGACATTGTGGATTGAGAAACAGGCGAGGTGCGTGTGCACGCCCAAAACCCTGGAGAGAGCAGAGGAAAGGAATCGTGTTATGCCCCTCCCCCCCAAGCAGGTGATTTCTTACTTTCCGTCTCTCTGTCTCTGTGTCCCTGTCCACAAGCACTATGGCAAAACTCTAAAAATAAATAAGTAAAATAAAAAATGTTTTTATTCACCTGAGTATGGAGCAAAAAAATGAAGCTAGGGTTGATTCTACCAGAAACAGGCACCCAGCCACCCTGTTGAACTAAGAAAGCATTCATCAAGAACAGCGCTTCTGATTTTCTGAATATCTGGAGACCAATTTCTCATCAGCTTGAAGTACCACTTAAAATCCCACTTTATGAATGAACAGAAAAAAGAAGAGGCTGAGGCTATGACAAAATTTTCAGAAGATAGACCTGTGTGGTCCCAACAAAGCAGAGAGGTTATCGGGAGTGATAACAGACTCAAGGAAACATGCAACTAGGCAAAGTCTTCGGATCATACTGTGCTGTTTTACTTCCAAAATAAACCTTTCTTTACTTTATATTCCACATGTAAAAACGATCGCTACTCACCACTGCAATCTCCTTATGGAACTTGGCCTCAAGGCTAGAGACGTTTTTGAAAGTATTGACATAAAATCCAACTCGTCTACCGTGTGGAAACACAAAGAGAAGACAGGGGAGACCAGTCAGCAAAAACGGATTTGTAACAACAATGAAAGGCATTAAAATCAGTTTTCCTAGGACCAGCAGATGGCGGAATGATTACGTTGGTGGACTCCCACGTAGTCGACCATGGTTTGAGTCCCAGACCCGATAGCTTATTCACACCAGGAACTTGTGCATGTATGTCCAAAGTCCTGAGAGGAGAATGGCGAAGGGACTGTGGCGTGGCCATCCCCCTTAGGGATGATTTCTTACTTTCTATTTTTCTGTATCTCTCTGTCTCTCCAGCAAGTGCACGTGGCCTATAGCAAAAACGTCTCTCAAACAAAAAACAAGACAACAAAAGAAGTTTTTCTTTAAATAATTTTGAGTAACATTGGATTAAATAAAATACTTAACCTAAATTATGTTCAACTTTTCCTCTCTGTTAATGAATAGAAAAACATCTTTGACCCAGAACATGGCCTCTCTTAAAATTCACTTACACTCTGACACCAGTTACCAAGCCTTGGGGTGCATTCACTGGAGTCACCGGCAGGTTTGGTGCTGTTTCAGGGTTCAGAACAAGGAGGAAACGAGTTTGCCTTTCTTGGGACCAGCAGATGGTGTAATAGTTACGTTTTGGGACTCCCATGTAGTCAACTGTGGTTGAAGTCCTGGACCCAGCAGCTTAAACTCACAACGAGTGCATGTGCATGCATACCCAAAATCCCAGGGGGAGAGCGGAGGAGAAGGGATTGCAGCATGGCCATCCGCCAAGAGATGATTTCTCATTTTCTGTCTCTCTGTCTCTCCAACAGGCACACGTGCCCTATAGCAAAAATCTCTCTCTACAAGGGAGAGAGAGAGAGATTGTATTTTTTTTTTTGGAGAGATTTTTCCTATAGGATGCATGCACTCACTAGAAAGAGAGGGAGAGACAGAGAGAGAGAAAGCAAGAAATCACCCCCCATTTGGGATGGACATGGTGTAGTCTGTCCTTTACTCTTCTATCAGGATCTTGAGCATGAGTTTCAACTCATCAGGTACTGGACTCGAACCGCAATCAGTCACGTGGAAGTCCAGCACTTTAACTACTATACCACCTGCTAGTTTTAAGAGTTTGCATTTCTAACAAGGCAGTCAGCAGTCACAGTCCCCAATCTTTTGGCATCATGGGCCAGTCTTATAAAAGACAATTTTTCCATGGACGGGAGCAGGAGGTAAGATTTCAGAATGATTCAAGTACATTTACTGTGTACTCTATTTCAATTACACTCTAACTTGTATTTGTATTACAATGTATTTGGGTTACATTGCATTTGTGTTAGCATGTATTTGTGTTACCATGTATTTGTGTTATAATATATTTGTGTTACAATGTATGTGTTACCATGTACTTGTGTTACATTGCATTTGTGTTGCATTGTACTTTTGTTACACTGTATTTGAGTTGAATTATTATAACAATAAGGACTAGTACTGGTCTGAGGCCCTGAGGTTGGGGACCCCTGTTCTAAGTGACATTGATGCTGCTGGTTCAGAAAAAAACCTTTGAACTACTACCTAAGAGTTTAGATACTTTTTAAACTTGTATTTTAAAATTACTTTTGATATTATTTCCCTTTTTTTTTTTTCCCAATTGCCACAGGTGTAGACACTTATCAGAGAGAGACAGAAAAGACAGAGAGAAAGAGAGAAAGCAGCCCCCAGTGGAGCATGGTCACATAGCAACCCTTCTCCTCCAAGGCTCAGTCCTTTGGGATTTAGGGTATGCTCAGTGGTTTTTCAAGATGCTGGGTCCAGGATTCAAACTTTGGTCAGCTATGTGGGAGCCAACACTCTTAACCATTAACTATGGGGCTAGCCCTACTTTTTTTTCCCTTTAAAACAGGGTCTCGCTGTGTCATGATCTCCTGCGTTAACCTCCCACCGAGCAGAGACTACAGGTATGCTACCACATCTGGCTCCTTTTCAGACTGTGTTCTGCTGCACTGTCCAGGCCATCCTGAATCTTGCACTCTCCCTGCCTCAGCCTCCCAGTGTTGCTGAAATTGCAGGCATGTGACAGCACTTCCAGCCTTTAGACTGGACCAGGAATGGAATCCATGCCTCCTGAAGTGATCCTGGCCTGCAGGGCCGTGTGCTAGCAACACACTCCACTGAAGCTGGACTGCTTATATTTTAGGTATGAATATTGTCCAAATCCCAAGACTGAGAAGTTTATTATTAATTTTTATAAAATAGAAATGGTCTAGTTTCAGTATCGTGCATTTGGGATTTGAAATCTGTCTAACAGAGAGACACAGGAAACACACAAATGAATTCCAACTGTTCAGCCAAAGCAAGAGCGTGCTACTACTGAGCAAGTGAAAGCACGGCTGCCCACTCCCAGCGCTGCAGGCACTCTGTGGGGCAAAGTCAGCGGGCGTCATCTGGGCCTCATCAAAGCTCCTCCATCCTCATGTTTGGGTCCCTAATAGTAAGCACAGCACCCAGAGGTAGATCCTGCTGGTCCTCCCAGGATAAGGCCCCTCTGTCTCTAAGTGAAAGCTCTTTGGACTCTATATTAATTCAATTTTTCTGAGCCCATCTGAATAAATTACTTAAATTTATGTTCTTGTTTAAGTGACATTCTCAAAAATATCCCCAAAATCCTGTTGCTTAATTAGATACTAAATTTCAATCAAGAACCAAGTACTTGTTCTGTTTTATTTTTAATTCTTTTCTTTTTTTTTAGAGGTTTTTGCTATAGAAAAGATGTGCTTTCCAGACAGAGAGACAGAAAGTGAGAAATCACCCCCCAGGGGGGATGGCCACGCCACAGTCCCTTCTCCTCCATTCTCCTCTCGGGATCTTGGGCACGCACGCACATGCGCCCAGCGTGAGTTTAAGTCACTGGGTCCGGGACTTGAACCGCGGTTGACTACCTGGGAGTCCAGTGACACTACCTGGAGCCATTACGCTAACTGCTGGTCACGAGAACCAAGTATTTGTTTTGGACTCAGATGAAAACATTTGATGGATCCAATACAAAGGATCTTTAAGAAGTTCAAGGAAAATGCATATTATGAAAAAACTATGTATGCATTTCAAAATATTTTTATACCAAAATAAACTTGTACTTCTAATTCCATTTTTCACAAGTTTTGGACAACTCCTTGAATACAGAGTAGCATCTTTCCCAAGCATTTACAGTATAGATGAGGAATAAGATATGCCTCAATACTGTAGGCCACCCATCTCATTTACACCTGAGATACAAGAGCAGGAAAAATGGGCTCCCTGGGGTTGGGCTGCCCTTTGCTCTACTATTAATGGGGGGGGTTAAGTTTCTTTCTTTCTTCTATGAGAAAGAGAGCGAAGCACTGCCAACAGGGTCTTCATGCCACAATCAAGCCCCAGCTTTAGCCAGAACCGGCTCAGAAGCACACGCACACCCAGTGCGCTTGGAGTGGCCTCCAGATGTGAACCTGGGCCTCCCACACAGGTTCTGGGTCCCTGCTCAGCCCTCTCTGTTCTTACTTACAATGGAAACAGAGTAAGGAAAGACGCAGATTACGAAGCCACAGGTAAGTGTTACTACAAAGGGCCGTTCGTGATGAAATATCAAAAATCGAGTGGACACAAGCGGAAACAGCTAAAGGGATGGAAAGAGAGGGGAGTAAGAGGCCCTATCACAGCTGTAAACACCTGCTCGAGAGCCCAGGACTGTCAGGTTTAAACAGACGGCGGGCCCACACGGGAGGGAGCGTGCAGCCCGAGGTGGCAGGCCTCTGTTCTACTTTTCTTGATTTTCCAACACAACGAATAAAACTCTAATGACTAAAACATTGGGCACAGCTTGCTCCCTTCTGTGCATTAAGTTTCTTACTTTTTAATTTATTTTTTATTTTGCCAGAGGCACACACACTTGCCAGAGACAGAGATAGAGAGAGAAACTGAGAAGCAACCCCCATGGGGAATGACCATGCTGCGACCGTTCTCCTCTCTCTCTCTCTCTCTCTCTCTCTCTCCTTTTGGGACTCTGGGTTCACATGCACATGAGTCCAGCAGACTACTCAAACCACTGGGTCCGGGATCCAAGCTGCACCATTGGCCGTCTGTGACCCGGTCCCCGCAACCACCACGCCATGGGGTGACCTGGTCTCTTGAAGATAAATGCTCATGTAAGGCGTGCTGCCCATGTAAGGCGTGCTGCCCGTGTAAGGCGTGCTGCCCGTGTAAGGCGTGATGCTCGTGCAAGGCGTGCTGCCCGTGTAAGGCGTGATTCTCGTGTAAGGCGTGCTGCCCGTGTAAGGCGTGGTTCTCGTGTAAGGCGTGGTGCCCATGTAAGGCGTGATGCCCGTGTAAGACGTGCTGCCCGTGTAAGGCGTGGTGCCCGTGTAAGGCGTGATGCCCGTGCAAGGCGTGGTGCCCGTGTAAGGCGTGGTGCCCGTGTAAGGCATGATGCCCGTGTAAGGCGTGGTGCCCATGTAAGGCGTGGTGCCCATGTAAGGTGTGTACAATGGAAGCTCTCAAGGTCACTGCCAAACTGTTCCCAAGGCTGGGCCATTGACAGTCTGCCAACTCTGAATGTCACCTTACAGATAACTTTTGTAAAAGTTCACACCTCACTGCCTTTTAAATTTACAGCCATTTTGGTAAAGATAATGTTTTTTGTCCATGTATTTACTGCCTGTTTGTATGTCTCCATGTTTCTTCGCTAACGTTTTAGATTTGTCCTCTCTGACCAGCTTGGAAGGGCATTTTCTTTCAACATACTGAAAGTGAGATACATTAAACAAAAAAGAATTCCCATTTCTCTATGTTTAAGTTTCATTTTCTGATATACATGACATTTTGAGTCGTTGTATCAATTATTATTTAGAGAAATAACTGAAGTACCAAAAACAAACACCTAATTTGGAATAACTAAACAAACGTGTCATTTTCTATTTTTATTGTTTCTTTCTTGAATTTAAAATTTAAATTCACTGGTTTGGGGGTTTTTTAAAGTTCATG